TTGGTTCTAAAAAAAAGCTAACGTTCACTAGAACATTCACAGAAACCTCAAAAAACTATTCATTAACACATTTCTTTAATGTCTTCAAACAGGATACTCACAATTAATTCAAACCACAATCAAGAGCGTTCTAACTAACAATCAACAAACCACAATCAACAAAAACAAAAGAATAAGGAAAATGATAACCCACCTACGAGTTTTGTAGAGTTCCCGTTCCGGTAAGGCTTAACTGAAAACGTAAATATTTATTTATTTATCAAAGAGATCCTGCGACCTATATGTATTACTGAATGCTATCGAACCATTAGTAATCGCCATTGAATTAAGAACATTAATCGAAAATATGACCAGAGTAACCTGTTAAAGCACTTGAGGAAACAAGAATACTGATCGCGACAATTCAAAAATAAGTGAATAAATACCAAAAATTAACTCGCAAAAGTGTTAAGGCGATAAAATTGAAAACGAAACATACTTCCTTCAGCGAACATTTCTTCGAATTTTCCCATCAGTTCTATGATAGCGTGAAAGAATGGTGTGTTGTTATGTGATGACATCACGAGAATCGTCTCTAGAGAAAATCCATTCAGCAAANATTCATTCGAAATTACATTCAAACAACACCTAATCCATCGAAACACTGCATGCTTAACAGTATCACCAACTGATTCAGTCAATTCAAATGTCTATGGTAAATATAACCGATAGTGAATGCAAAACAATATCGCTCATCATAAAACCAACCATCAGTAGCGATTCTGGAGAATTCACGTAGCTCTGATTCATATCGACGAACCCTGCTCAGCACATCGGCATCCAAATTCGCACACATTCTTAATATATGCTCACGGGCCTCTTCTTCTGATTTTGCTTTACCAACACCCAACGACGCCGTAAGACCGACCACCTGAACTCATACAAATTGCATTGAATTATTGTTGGTAAGAATATTGATATTGTTATCCTAATTAAAATGTTCACGCACCTCAGGAAAATTCTGATGTAATTGATTGAATATATTTCAATAAATATGAAACATTATGCGTAGAATACATTTCGGTCTTTCATATTTCATTGTGGTTATGAGCGCAACAATGGAAAAGTCATTCTCTCGGAGAGTCTTATGCCTAGAATCCGGAATGCAACTTCTTTTTTCATCTGCATGTACACTTTTCAGCAAAACAATTGCATTGTTTTTTGTATCAAGGGAAGATCGCGAAATTTTTCATCCAAAACAATACTGAAGAGAAAGGAACACGAAAAAGAACTACACCTGAGGCAAGGGTTCCGACTTCGAATAAGCTCCAGTTCTTTTCATATCATGATAGGTGAGCATTATCTCTGAAATCACATGATTCTGAACAACTGTAACAATTTGTCTTTATAAACGAAACAAAAAGAACCAGCTTAGATCACAGCTCGTTTCTGGAACGGTTCGTCTGGACGAAACCATGAATCCACTGATCAGACTTTACTTTAGATGCGATCCTGATGGACAGTTTTTCAGAAACAACATTATGATGGTATACCGACAACGAACCATTGTAAGGATGACTTTCAGAAGTATGATGTGCCTCATCAAAAATGAGCAATGAGAACATTGTCAGTGAAAATCGTACGCAATCCTCTTCGGTATTCTGCGCTTTGATCAGGTTCCTGAAGGAAACAAGTAGACTTTGTTGATGGACTGAAGAAGAAAACCAATAAACGAAACTGATGCCGGAATATGCGATAAAATTTTTTAAATGAATTCACTAAAGACATTTATACAACCCATTCAATAGCACTCAACATTGACCAATTCAACAAAAAGTCGTCACTCAAGCAACACTTCCATAAATTGATTAAAGGTGATAAGAACAGCACGAATGGAGACTGTCATTGCTGACTGTTTAGAATAAGCAAAACAGCGGACGTTTTGCAGACAGAACTGTCATAACTTTATTCACATATTCACTGGAATTACTTCCAGTGAATATGTGAATAAAGTTATGACAGTTCTGTCTGCAAAACGTCCGCNCGTTTTGAACAAAGAAGACGAAAAGTCAAACATCAACCAATCTAAATAAATTGAAACGAAAGCGGAAAGAAAGCAAGAACTAACACAATCAGTTGTGGCGTTATCACAACAACGTCATTATCCACTATCGTTAACAGACGCGGTGCTTCGGCAGATGTGGCACCACTGAGTGCAATGATTTTGAATCTCTTTCTGAGGAATCGCCTCAACAACTCAGCTTGTTGTTCCAGAAAGGTTGTGTTTGATACGAGAAAACACACCTGAATAATTTGCTATCACTTCAACGCATCCCCACCAATGAAAGCTCATCGCACTGACGACTAGAAATTCCTCTTTTTTTTTGAACACAAAAGAAGATGTCACATCCCTGGTTATCAATACCTACATCATCTGGTGCTAAACAAAACAATTCCTTTTTACTGACACTTCGACAACGATCACTGAATGATGAGGAATAAGAGTGTACAAAACAAATGGGCCGTTTTTACTTCCTTTCTCAAAATCATTTCAAAAGGTATTGGCTGGAAGAAATCTTCCCCTCACACATCTATAACGAATGAAATCATGGACAGCAGCACACATCCATAAAGTGGATGCATATTGTTTCAGGAATGGAAGTATTCCGACTACACCTGAACTGTGCCGAAAACATTCAAGAGAGCAGTATTAATTTCAGCACAAACCTTGTTGCGTTTCTTCGCCACCAGTCCTTGCAACAAATGTTTACGGATAACCGATGCAGCTACGACAGTTTTGCCGGACCCGGTTGGTGCACACACTACTGTGTTCTGGCCATTATACGCCGCTTCTGCCAACTCTTCTTGATAATGTCGCAGAGGAATTTCATCCTCTAGAAATTGCATTTATTACTATGAGTAATCAAGAACCATATATTTGAATACATCCATGTCTCCTCGAGAGATTATGATGAGAACCGAATAAATGCACAAAAATGCGAAAAACGAAACGAAATAAACAAATTCATAGAAGGAAAAAAAAAGGAACCATCATATATGTCTTCAAGAACATCGTCAATGATCTTTTGTGGCTCAGACGGTGGAAATGTCTGGTAACTGATATCAACCTCGAACGGACATGCTTCGCCCGATTTCGCACAGGAATCGAGTACATCCCGTACAGTCGTATTCACACCAACAAAATACACGGTACCTATTTTAAACGAAGTATAAGAACCGAGAACCAGGTTTACGCACATATTATTCATAAGTCAATGCCTTCAACAACGATGGAAATGCAGCAATTTAAGTGGTGTCATTTAGACTGTACGATTTAAAATCCACTTGTTTTCTTTTGAATCCAGTTCTTTATAATTCATGGCATGTGAATTATACCTACAAACTGATATCAGTCTCGAACGGACATGCCTCGTCCGATTTCGCACAGCATTCGAGCACAGTCACCAAATTGTGTGACGAATGCGCATTTTGCAGTCGTGCAATTTGCAAAATGCAGTAAAATTCGTGGAAAAAAAANCAAGCGAAGCTGTCAAAATGGTAATAATTCTATTCATCGGTTCCCGGTTACCTCAACAGAACAAAGCAGAAACGTACGATACAATTGTTGAAAATTTGGAATCATTTGCTCGACGAGACGTTCCCCTTCAGTACCGCATACGGTGACTGCATGCAAAAAGTCGAACAAAGTTTCACGGCCAAGTTCAGGCAGCGATCGAAGGATGTGTTTGTTCGCTAACTGCGCACCTGAATCATTGTACTCACTAAACAACTCTATGCTTGATATAGGTTACATTCAAACACCAAATAGTTCGATCGATCAATCTGCTTACGACTGAAGAGTGTTTCTTGTGAACGAGAAAATAGAAGAAATGTATGAATAGCCATGCAATGATCTAACCTTTCCCAGGAACTATCTGCTGGATAGACTGAAATATTCGTTGATGCTGATCACTCAAAATTGAAAGTTGTTTACAAATCGTTAAGGGATCCATCACTTCGAGAAATTCCTTTGATCGACATAAAACTTGCAGAATTTCACTTCGATAATTATGTTCCATTAAACGGTGCAAGTGTCGATGCAGCTGAGATTCACTCTCACCTGAATGCTCATCTCGAATACATAAAAACAAAAAGCATCACGGTAATCAACTCATTATATTCTGTTGTGTGGTAAACTGATCGAATGAAATTTATCTTGTAAAATCAATTCTGTTTCACGATAGAAAATTTCCGTTAAACTCACATCGATGAATAAACTCCA